AATAGAAATTCTGCTGTCTTATTCCTTTTGCTATTCTGAATTCCTTGAGAGGGATGAGCTCCTAAAAATAGTTGTGAGATAAAATTTAAAGGTTTTCCTTTAGAAGGGAAAATTAAATGTACCAGAATATAAACTTTTTGAAAGTAGATGCCATGTCCAATTTTTCTTTCTCTTCCCTATAGTGCCTAATATCATACTAGGCAGATGAAAGATGCTTGTTAAATAGCTGTTCTGTTGAGCTGAAAAAGAGAACTGGCCAACATTATGTTGAAATATATATGTATTTGGGAATGTGTGCATGTACACACACATATATATGTACACATACATACATGTACATATGCACTCACATTTTTTTATACCTTTAAATATCTTTATAATATCCCAGAGTCATTCATAATGATTCCTAGGAAGCCTTAATGCCACTGTTCAGACACAACTGTTCTCTGGATAAACTGCAGACCCACACACCAGGCTGATGTGAAAACTGTCCTTTTGTCTGGATCTCCTGAGGCGGCCGTGTGGAGAAGGCAGACCCTTCTCTGGGTCCTTCCATTGCTGAAGTCATTGTGCTTTGCTCCCAGTGGAATACGCCACCCTGTCCTTCATCTTACTGCCCCTTCCTCCTGTTCAATTGTCCTGCTTCTTTGGTGTCCTCTTGTTTGCCGGGGGCCGAGGCAGCATTTGATCGGGTGTTTGACAGGGTCCAGCCGATCAAGAAGAGCCGAGGGGGGCAGGGCGCCCCTCCGCGAGAATATGAAGAGCCGGCCTTTCCCCAAGCTATGCTGAACTTTAAAAACTTGTTTTTCTTCCCTTTGTCTTATATCCCATTTTCCTGCTCATGCTGTAATTTTCCAGATGGCCACTTTAGAGAAAAGAGCTTGCTCCCCCCGCGGGATTGGTGCTGAGAAAAATATGTGACCACCTGCATAAGCCTTCAGAATATCGCAAGGGGCAAGTTCCCCCCGACGCACATATGATGCGGGATCGGTGAGCCGAGGAGTCGAAAGAAAGATTTCTTAGACTCTCAAGATCTGGCAGTAGTGCTCTTTTATTTAGAAAATAGTGTGGAATAGCATGGGGACAGGACCCATGGGCAGTCAGAGCTCCTGCTGCTGCCGCTTCTGCTGCCCCCGCTGGCATGGGGACAGGACCCACGGGCAGGCAGAGCTGGTGCGTGGGGACAGGACCCACGGGCAGTCAGAGCTCCTGCTGCTGCTGCGAGTTGAGGGTTAGGGCTAATTTTATAAGGCATAGGTATATGATTCATCTCTTTACAAGACAAAGGAAAGAACATGAAAAAAAGTTAAAATGGTATCAGTGTGGGTGGGGTCTGGTCATTGGGTGATCCCATGACTTTTAGACAAGAATCAAATCGGATTAAGTAAAGGTTAGAAAGGTTAGACACCACCACCCTAAACCAGTTACATGAGATTGCCAGACAGCAACCAACTTAAGTTCTTGCCTCTGGCATTGACCAAGAGCCTCCAGAGACAAGACCATCCCCCCCTCTTCCCGGCACAGAGAGGGAGGCATCTTCACAGATAGAGGTTTCCCTTTAGAAATGTAAATGTTTCCCAACAAAGGGGCAAACAAATTCCACTCCTTGGAGCCTGAATCTCATCTGTAGTTTTAAAACTAACCAGCCTAAAAATCCTCATCATAAACTGTTTTAAAATTAAGCAGCCTAAAAATCCTCATCACATAGATAGTGGGAGAATTTTTCTCCCTAATGAGGAGTTCGTACTGAAGAGAGCATTTGGATCAAAGCAGCTGCCTCCTTCTGGTTAATGTTTTGCTCTTCCCCCAGTTTCCCTGGTGGGAGCGGATGTACCCCTTCCTCTGTGGTTGATTGGAGTGTTCCTCCATGTGTTAGTTGTTGAAAAGTGTATTGTTGCCCTGCATGTGTTTGGCAAAACATTATAGAAGTCTTTTCTTAATTGCTGAAGTCGCTTTTGTGCAGGAAAAGATAGTTAACCTCTGCCCCCCTAAAAGTTAACTCTGTTCCCTGTAAGATATTACTTATCAATGAATGCTTTGTGATTTACTCTGCAAGAACATCTGTACTCCTATATTTATCCCCTGCTAAAAAAGATATAAAAACGCAGTAAAAACCAGTAAAGACAGACTTGCTTTGTACTTCCTTATCTCTCTGAGAATATTTGTAGAGCTATTTCTGTACTAATCCTGAAAAATATAAAAACGACAATTGTCCACAGTAAAGACAGACTTGATTGCACCGACTCAAGTCTCACATCCCCTCCTTCACTGCGCCGACTCCGTCTCTCCCTCAGGAACCTGGACTCTGCTGGAGCTGGACTCCGGCACTTGTTATCGGAGACTGAGAAGGCAACAGTGAAAGGGTGAAAAATATCCAACTTCCTGAGTCCTTGCTTCACACTTTACCCAGTTTGATCCAAACGAGTTTACCCCCTTCCCACAGGGATGTCTGACC